TTAAAGCAGAAAAATTGCATTCCTCTCCTTTCTGAGAAATCAAATAACCCTGGTATCAAATCTTTTTACTGTCTAGGTTCCAACAGTTACCTACTATAGCAAGGTAAGCAACCGTGGTGCAGCTGTTTGTCCATTAACACAGATGAGGTTATCCAGTGGATAAATCTGGATTAAATTTAAATTCAGGGCAGGGTTTGAAAATGCATCAGGGTTATGGTTTGTGTGCACATGTGATGGTGCTAAAATCTTATGGGGTTTTTTGTCTTCTGAAGTTTTGGCTGTGTTTGATCTGGAATGGGAAAATAGGGTCCATTCCAGTTTGGCAAGAAACCCAGAACCCAAATTATATGAGTAAATCACATCAAGAGACTGAAATGCCCCCAAATGCCCCCTTATCCTTCTCTTTCTGAGGATGGAAAGTTTGACTGTCAGATAGGACTGGGGAAGAAAGATGTCTCCAGATGGAACCTGATGAAAAGCTGAATTTGGCAATATTATTGAAGTGGGGCCCTGGTTTTAATTATAAAGTTATATAGCAAGTAATGGCAAATCCATTACAGACTTCGAAATCATATCAGGCTTATCTGCTTTAAGTGCTGTCAAGCACCCACTTCTCCACAGTAAGCAGACTCCACTCGTGTCTTCAGCTCCCAGGTCGAGGCAGCTTGCTCCTGTAGCAACCTGTTTAATCAGCCCAGAAGACTCCTGCCATTTCAACAAACCCTATTTCAAGGAAAACTTTTCCAAAAGATTTCAACTGGCTTTGAAAATTAATTTGATCCTTGTGTCAACTGTTAGCAGTTTGCCAGTGAATTACCTGGGATTTAGGATTCATAAATATTTATAGGATAACTGTTGGTACAGCCACTATTCTGCCTGCCTTTAAATAGGGAGGTGCTATAATACTTTGATTTGAAACGTTATAACCTGCAGAAGAAAACCTTGACATAAGGATAGAAAATTCGGGCATAAAACACAAGATATCGTGGTCATGAAGTGACTTTGCAGACTGGCAGAATACGTTAACGCTTTCAGTGGCTAAAATGATGGAAACAACAGTCCGGGTGCAAGAAGCCTGAACTTTAGTGTGAAAAACAGAAGTCCTCAACAGTCCACCTGACAATGCTGTTTTGTCTGATTTTAATTAATCTGTCACTACAAACATGACCTAGTTACCACAGTACAAATGTCAGCTTGTAACAGCTTTTCCCAGGAGTCCTTCTTAACTAGCATTTGCCATTTAGGTTTGCTCATTCAATCATGAAGAGTAGTTAATTAGCTCCATCTACTGCTGCATGGAGCGAATTGTTCTCCAGTAGCCTCTTCAGATCCCGCTGGCGGTGGTGTTTTATGCGCTCGGCTGCACCGTGCCCCTGGCAAGGGCTGCTAGTGGAAAGCAGAAGGTTTGCATCTCCCTGTTCCTTCTTCTGTCATCAGCTTTACCATTACATAGGTTTTCTTTCATCTCTCATCTTTTTGGTAATTTCTTTTTGAATTGCAGGGTGACAATGTGGGGCATCGTTCTTTTTAATACCTCTTCCCATGCCAAAAGACATAACAGTTCTCCTAAAATAATTAGCACTATCAATGAAGAGACTTGCAAGGAAGGAAACAGCTATTTAAATTACTGCTGCACTGATATTAAAGGCGGCCACTGTGCTGAAAATGGGTACTCAGATCAACAGATGGATGCCCTTGTCTTATGCTTGCCATATGTGTTGACTGGAGTATTCAGATGGGGTATTTAGTTGTTTATGTTTTAAAATAAATGTTCTGATATTCATTTAAAATGCCACCTTAGTTTATGAGAGAGTTAATGAATGCCTGTTCTAAAATGTCATCTTTCTTAGTATTTCCCTTTTGATTTAGGTGAAATATTTCAAATGCTCTCAAAATATCCCAGCTAGCATTCCAGTAAGCAGGCTGCACGAGATACTTACCTACGACATAGCTGAACCAGAGAAACACACCAGATAACTACTGAAGTGGAAACGTAGCAAGGATTAATACCTTCAAATGTCTGGAAATCTCAAAAATAAATAGTATTATTATCTTAAAAGAAGTAGCTCAGCAAAGGATTTTATTTTCATAATAGATTTACTTTTCCATTAAGAAAGAAAATAATATCAAAGAGCTTATTAAGGTCAGAGATGTTTTTCTAGTTGGCGCAATGCTTAGACACCTGTGAGATGGCTGCTAAAACTAGAGACCAGGCTTGCAGGTATTCCATAGAGGAAAGAAATTTATTCCTTGGGCTGGCTGCTGCCTTCAGATACACCAAAAGCTGTGCGCCTCGTGCTAACAGCAAAGTAAATTACACAAAGGTGCATCATCAGTTCGCGCCGCTACCCCCTTCCTCCTGTCTCGTGTCCCTGGTTGTATATCTGCCTCAAGTTGCCTCAAAATAGAACAGGACATTTCTGAATATAGAGTCAGAGAAGGTCACCGATTAGAAAACATTAAAATCGGAGTAAGCAAAAGAAAGAGAAGGCAACTATCAATCAGAAAATGATTGCAGAAAATCCTAGGTCTTTCCCCTTTGCTTTTCACCAGGTAGGAATACAAAGCCATTTTCATTGCTAAGGCTAGCTTTGAGTGCTTCAGCCTCAACTTTGGCTCCTGTATTTAGCTCTAAAAGAAACTTCTCCACCTCTAATTTACCTCTGAGCTGTGGGCCTCCAATGCCTTGTCTGTGAATGTCACTTACTTAGAAGAGCCTTCCCAGCTAACCCCAAGGAATTAGTTTCTGGGGACAGTTTTGTATGTTTGAATGGGATAATTTAAATGCTGTTCTTCATTCTTCATACACAGCACTGAAAATCTGTTCCCTGTCCCCTGGAGGGAACATCTTCTACTTACACAAATTCATGTCAAACCAAATTTTGTTTTTCAAATTTGTAATTAATGCAGTATTATGCAAAGCAGAATAATAAATAATGTGGCTGTGCGGTCTATTCTCTCATGAAAACATGGGGGACTTCAGTCTCTAACTCTGTTTACAATTAACACATCAGCGAGACAACAGATCTCGTGGGCAGTTAATGCATTGTAAATAAATCCATCCAGACCTTCAACGGCTTTCCAAAAGAATATTTAAGCTTAATTGGAAGTTACAAACCTCTAAATTCTTACTTTATGTTTGTAGTACATGTAAATCTCAAATTTAATGTTAACACAACAGGTAACTTGCAACGTGTGGTTGAATTATTTGAAATCATTGAGGATAAATGTAAACTTCAAATTTAAGAAACTAAATACAGAGCTTCACCATATTCCTTCTGTGAATTTTATGGGAGTAAGAACTTGAAAGAGATCTCAGAGTTCAGTTCCACACATCATTTCCAAGAAAAAAAATCTCGCAGAATGTGTTCCTGAGTACAAGGTTTAAAGTTAAATCTGCAACACTAGAATGACAAATAAAAAACATACTTTTTCTTGGTTTGTCTTTAACACAGGCAGTCTTGGTTTGATTTCTTGAATGCAGTTGCTTTTACATGAATGTCAGAAGAGTCACTAGGAACCAAAAGCCACTAGACTGTTCCTGAAGTCACGTTGCCTCAAATAAGCCTTGCAAGAGGCATTACTGATGACAGTAGAGGAACAAACTTTCAGTACTTGACCAGTTTAGAATATAAAAATACTGAGGGGATTTTATCGACCTCATACTTGTTTACCAGTGTGCAATTATGCCACTTTCATGGATGTAGTTGTGAGCAGGAACAAATCTCACCCACACTGATATTTTGCATTTTCCTTCTTCTCATGTGTTCTTCACAGACAGCACACTGGTAGAAAGGTCTACCAAAGTCTCGATAATATGGGGGCTTTTTAATGCGTTTCTATGTGCGCAGTGTGTCAGATAATCATAAATGTCAAGGTACATGGTCTATGAAAGCACACATACACATTTATACATATAAATGCAACCCACACATATATTGTGGTCAGAAAAAAAGATATAGTAATAAGTGCTTCCAAACTTCCAGGCTGCAGTATAAGAAACAGGTTGCCATATCAATAACTTTTGTAATAGCTGTCAGTAAAGTAACCACTCAGAAAGACTGTTATGGTTTCTTGTCAGGCATAACCATTCTCTCATGTGGATCATAATTTCATCCATGTAAAAATTTCCCTTTTTTCATCAGGAGTTATTGCATATCCCGGGTTTTCTTTTCAATTCAAGAAGTGAGCTTTTTCATCTTTACATGAAATTTTTAATGACAAGTGACTCAAGAGGCATTTGCTAAGCTGAAAATAAAGCGTATCAAATGTTTCCTCTGCATAGCAGTTAGCTGGGCAGCTGTGACTCAGCAGAGTACAAATGTCAGGATAAATGGCCATATTCCATTAAGGGTTGGCCATCCTCACTTGGGAAAACCATCTCTCTGGATCTAAACCTTTTGGCTCCAGTCCATTTCTGTATTCTGCCCTGCACTCATTCAGAAAAGCCATTGATGCCCGTGGGAGTTCTGTCTAAAGATGTAGGGAAGAGTCTCAATACATGTTTTTGTGTTGGCAGCCCATGCCTTCAAAGCCATTTCTTGCTATGAAGCAAAACCACTTTGATCTGCAATTATACATTTTCTTATAAAATCTGGAAAATTTATGCATTATTGACAAAGCTAGAAGGAACTGAATACTGAAAACATAGCAGGAAAACAACACTTCATTGTTTTTATTTTTAAATATATTCAATGCAGTTCAGAAACAAGTGTAATATAACTCTTATTTTACAAAGTTGACCATTAAAATATTTAAAAAGGGCTTATGGGCCTTTGATAAATAGTTTAATATGGGAGATGCATGCTAATAGGGAAGTCGGTTTTGGAAGACAGCCATTTAACAGTGGAAAAGTTAGTTAAAAAGAGACTTTGTAGAAATGCCTGAAAAGACAGCATGTCCTTCCATATCCCTTTATCCAAATGCAACTTCATTCTTCTGCAACTTCCCCTCCCATATCCCCTTTCTAAACTTTAAACCAATTTTGCACCTTGAAGTATTTAGAAATACAAATAATATACCCAATAAAATACATTAATTATGATGAATGATAAAGGGAAAGAAAACCTGGCATAGTTGTCTATGTGGTAAGGATTTTTAACATGGAAGCAATCAAAGATACAGCAAAGTTTTTTCATCACTGACATTGGTGAACTACACCCACTGTGTTTACTTCTCTCCCTTTTCCCATCAATGCTGGTTTTGCGGCTCTTGTTTGAATCGATCCTGTTGGTATTGTCAGGGGCACCGCGACTGTTAGCAACCACTGCCAGGGCGCCATTCCTCTCTTCTTCAGCCTCTTCATCCTCCTCCTGATAGAAAACAAAACAGCAGGTACTTAAGTGCCTGTTTCATCACCTATTTACTTTAGAGCTATGGAAAATAATAAGATTTTTCTTACAACGACTTCTGTAGCTCACTCCTTGATTTCAAGGGCAAGCACCTACATGTACCAGACAGCTCCTTTCAGCTTTCAAAGCCTCCATTTAGAGGAAAAACACTGGCTTAAACAACATTGTACTGCAAAAATTTTCACAGGACTGTCGAGCAAAGCTGGATTTGTTCAAATATGACCCACTAAGCTTTACTAAAGAACAGCAAATCCGTGAAATGCACAACCATAAGCTGCCTTCTGCTCTGGCAAAAAAAAAAAAAAAAAAAAAAAAAACAAACTGGCAAAGTTCAGTGTCTAGAAAGTGGGTAAAGCAAAGTCACAGTCTGGAGATGGAGAAGGTGGGGGAGCTGCCAGACCACCTGCTCAAGCTGGTTGTGTCCAAAATCAAGCACCCCAGAACACAAGACACTTTCCTTCGGTTGGCTACTCTGTTCCTGGTGCTTTGTGATGAAAATCAAAGTACTTAAAAAAAAAAAAACAACAAGCAAACAAACAAAAAAAAGCACAAAAAAAGATCATAAAGAGGGACAAGCCTCACAACTAATACAGTGCTAAACAGCTCATACTACTTTCTTTCAAGTCCTGAAACCCATTCTTTAAGTTCAAAGTTATGCTAAGGTTAAGCACATTTTTGTGCTTCACTGCAGCAAGACAGCTCTTTGGAGAATGTTGTATAAGCCTTCTGGTGGGTTTTGTTTCTTTGATTAGAAATGGCTCAGAGCCATGAAGTTCATGTATGAAATCTTCACCCTTTGAAGTCAGCAGGTTTTCTCTTAGTGACTCAGAGGACACAGGATTAGACATCATCTGCAGCTTCAGCTCTAAACACAAACTTTCTTAAAAGTTCTGGGGTATCTAGGTTGGTTTGGGATATTGCAGATGTACCAGCAGATCTACAAAGATTGGCTCCAACTTTATATCTAAATTAAACCTAAATTTGTATAGTTGGAAAAGGGGTCATTTTAATTCAGGGAGGTGTACATGTAATTTTAATTTTCTCCTGATGGTTTTATTACCCTCTAAATCAGTGAGTGGCATACAAGCAAGAAGAAAAGGCTAAAAATTTATTTGTGAAATGTAGAATGCAGAAGCTCTGACCCATTTGCTTTTTCCATTTGTATCATGAGAAGAAATAGATTAGACAAGGACAAACTTTAGAAAAGTTAAGAAGTGCAGCCCTATGTTTAGCCACACAAAAAGCTCATTTAGAAATATCCCAGCTATTAAAGTCAAAGAAAGCTCATTAAGCCACCTGAATGATCTCTGTGCTGGTGCAGAATTGCTCTTCTGCCCAGGGTACTTGTAGACGGCACGGTACTTGAGCTTTTCTTCATCTAAATGAGTAACGCCCTTGAAAATTAAAGTGTAGTCTGGACAATGTCCTCAGACTGCTGTGAGTCAGTGAAGCAGAGCAGATGGAGCCAGAAGAAGGGATTATTACTGCTTTTCATTTTCAATTTACAAAAAAATTCCAGTGTATTTTATTTGAGAGAGATAAACGTAGCTCAACACAACGTGTTATCCTAAATACACTGACTACAAAACCTTGCTCATCCTCCACCTAGCAAACCACAGCTAGGGGAGAATCTTGAAACCAAAGGCCAGGATAAAAATCATTCAGAGGATCAATCCATAAAATTTCAGTCTGAACCTTAAACAATCCCCAGGGTAGTACTAAAACTCAAACTTGGAGTTCTACTTGGGGCCTAATGCTGTTACGAACACCAAGCTCTTCTGCTTCAAAAAGTTCAGGCAGCTGAGGGAAGTGGTGGGGCTGGCAGAGGAGCCATCAGCAGCAGCACCTGGCACTTGGAACAAGGCACCGGAGCGACAGCCTAATGAATGCACTCGGCACTTCAAAAGTTAATAAAATAAAGAAACCTGTCAGAAGAGTCCTAACTTTTTTCCCCCACTGCTCTCATTTTTTAGAAAGGGAGAAAAAGAGCAAAATAACATCTGTACTTCAAAACTGGCAGGATTTGGGGCATTATTCAGTGTAAGAGTCTATTTGTCTCTCAGGAAGGGCTAGCTAAAAGTTGTACAGATTTAGTTCTACTGCGGAGCATAAAAGGACGTTGCGTACGTGCCATTTTCCTTTTCACACAACCGTATGCAAACAATTCGCAGGAGGCTGGTGCTTAATTAGGCTGTTCTTAACTTCTTTTTACTCCCCAAAAGGCAGTTATTACTTAGGCAGAAAATACCATACATGGTGCATATGTACTTGATTCTGCTTGCAGCGTTACAAGGCAGGGCTCTTGCAGAACAGAGACAAATTTACAGCAAAAGTGCTCTATCACATTGCTTCACAAGGACAAAGCTAGAGGAGAACCATAACTTCTAGTCTATAAAAAAACTAGTCTTATAAACTGGGACTATCGAGGGACTTTTCCGACTCACTATGGAGAACTGAATGTGATGAGAGATTAAGCTGGTTTACATTAAATAAAAAACATTGCGTTACAAATGTTCAGCTGCGGCTCTAATTCTAAATGTCATGCTAAGTTTTCTCTAGATTGCAGCTGTCAGTGAGAAAATGGCAGCTGGCACAAACAGAAGGGTTTTGTTTGGATACAAAATCGGTAGCACCCAGGAAAGGTACTCTGCATCACCTGAAAAGCACTGTATATGGCACATGCTGCAGTGGCTGCTCTTCATGGTAGCCAAAGTGTTTGCTGATATCTAACAGCCAGCAGAATAGAGGAACATTGTCACTTCCACTGAATAATAAAGACACTCAAGATTAAAAATACTTCGACTCAGAGCATTGCACACCCAGAGCTTCTTCAGCATTCAGAAAGACTGCTCGATTCTCGCACAGAAACGCCAAATAGGCTGAACACTGCCCTTGTAACCCTATTTTGAGTTTTCAAATGTCTCTCCTTTCAGACCAAAAGGGAGAGGCTTAGTTGAAAGACAGAGGAAGCCAAGGAGGAAATATCCGTTTTGTAGGAGGACACAGTTCACACCTTTGTATAAAAGAGAAGAAACTCAGGGTTTTGAAGAGGCAACTTCTAGGTTTAGGCAGTCTGTTACGCAGTTGACATGAATGGCACGTTTTGCCTGACCTTCCTTGCAGCAGGTGGTTCCTCTGCTTTTGCAGCTTTGAAGCTGTCTCTGTGGGTCCTGGTTCATGTGATGTGAGACACCACAAGAATGTGGATATGATGAGCTGTTCCACCAGTTTATATTCTAAACTGGAGACCCCAAGGGCTTCAAAAGAACATGATATGCCAGTGCCCAACTGCTTTAAAGAGCAAAGCAGAAAGCAAACCAGTACAACTAATTCCTATACAAGGCAGAGGGTTACATTTTCAATGCACCTCCTACATTTATTTACACAATTCTGAGTGCAAATTTTCTATCAGCTCACATATGGGAATAACAAACTGGGAAGTGAGATTTCTAATTAACCTATGTCCACAAGGGAATATGGTAATGAGGAGAACACATCTGTGGTGACGATACACAGAAATTTGTTAAGTACCTGCTAGACAGTGACATGAGATTTTAGCTGCTACTTCTGTCCTTGTGATGTTTTGGTTTTTACAGTGAGAAATGAGAAGGACATGTCAGGTGTGCTCTTCGTGGCACCCTGCTCAGTAAGCGGTGCTTGTCCTTAGCTACAGTAGGAAAAGGACGTGACAGGCATTTTCCTTATTCTAGAGTCTTGAGTTGATCTAGGACCCACCAACTGCCCCTTTACTTATACGCTTGTGTGGGCAAGAAGCGAGTTGGACTGGCTTGCTCACTCCTGATGCACAGGGGAAGGCAGGAATCATGCCTGAAGTGACAGACCATTCCTTTCAGTCATTAAGTCCATCACAAAACTGAACCTTAAGCCTTTTTTCCTTCTTCATTTTAGGGCTGTGCCTCCACTTGCTTCCATGCACGTCTTTCAGGTCCACGAGTTCCCAGGTCTGCCCCACCTGCAAGCACTAGTACATGTGCTCCAGATGAAAGGGAATCTGCCACAGGTCAGCAATGGCAGGGGCAGTCATCAGTGCCCTTCACAGGTCCAAAGATGCTTAATCATCCAAGGACTGAAACACTTTCTTTTCTTGCCCAAACCTCCAATAAGATATTTTTTTTCCTGCTCTATGAGCAAAATGACAACCACTTACTTCACAAGATGGATATGCTCAGAGGGAATTGTCACTGATGCTACCTTGCTAAGAAAAATTCACTTTCAGCCTTTCCACTCAAATTCTTATTGGAAATGAGTGTTTGCCCATTTGCAGACATTCCCCTGTTAGATGTTGTCTTTTAAAACCCACTGGGTGGCTCAGCTTTGTGTCTGTTTTTCAGTCTTCCACACACTTAGATCTAATAACAGCTTTGAACACATTCGTGTACATTTACAGAATCTCTCTCATCCAAACAGCAAGATCCCAAAGTAACTGTTGAACTATCTAGGCTGATCTTAATTGGTTTTAAGCTTCTCTATTTGAATTCAATATCCTGCTTCATGAGCCTACCGAGGAGCTTTGCTTAGGCATTTGTGATGCTCTGTTCTAGTTTGGCTTAAATAGTTAACAATCTTTCTTCTTCTGGCCATTTATCCCTACAGCAATCAACCAAACTTTTTCCTGCCTTTTTTTCTGTTATTCTCACTTCCCATGTTTTACTTTTTTCTATTCATCCAGAAATTTCATAAGCTGCTTAAAATTTTCTTTTCTACCATGCATATTAGGTTCCGTTCCGTAATTAAAAGCTGCAAGACAATCAGCTTCCAACTGCCTTGTGATTTCTTTTTCACTGCTTATGAAAGCAGTGCAAAACACTGGAGATGGAAGATGTGAAAAAAATTCTTCATGAATCTGTCCTGATTATTTCAGCAAGATGACAACCACCAGACTCACAAATGCCTATGTTGATTTGATCCCTTTTTATTTTAAGTATATTTCACAGTATTTCAGAGTTGTGAGAAGCTCATTAGAGGAGCAAAAAGTGCTGATATAATAATTATGCAGAACAGAAAGTGAACCCCAGTCTGACCTTCAGCTGCAGCTGTTGGAAGAGGTGTACATGGAAGGCTATAGGCACCCCATACACCTTGTATGTGAAGCTGTCTGCTGCTGACCCACGTACCATGTGTGTGCAGTAGGTTTCATAAAGGGAATGTGATAAAAATCTCTTCTTTTTCGCTGTATTGCCATAAGATCAAGTCACCAAGTTCAATCTAATTTTTGAACTGTAAATAAGCATATGTCATTGTAGGGAGACAACAAGGGCCTGTGATTTTTGTGATATGTCTAGCACATTGTTTGATAAATGGCCATAAAGTCCATGCCAAAATTCATTATGGAAAGGTGTTTCAGTTTGGTTGATCTCTTCCAAAAAGTCAGAGGTATACAAATCCTTTTTCTCAAGATTATTCTGCTTTCACTGTCCTTATTCTAAAACAGAAACTTCCTCAAATACATTTATCATTAGTGCCAAAAGAATGCATTCTCTTTAGCAGGTGTAACTGAAGCCTGTTGTGTAGGGACAACAATCAATGAATTAAAATACCTTTGGAAGTTCCTTTGAACTGAGGCGATGCAGAGTGCAGAAGTGAGCCACGGCATACTCTAACAGTGCGCCAAAGATGAAACTGAAGCAGATACCGAGGTACACATCAATTGCCTTAATAAAGCAATTAGCATTTGGGAGTGAAGTCCTGGCTCCCATCATCAGTGTTGTCATCGTGAGGACTGTGGTAACACCTGTGGAATGCAAAAATATAAGTTCTGATAAAACACAGATAGCAATGAGGGCCTCTACTGCAAGGGCCCTGCTACAAGACAGTTTTTCCTGGCTCTGTGAAATCCTAAGATGCCACAGCATTTAATGTGTCATGTTTTGGAAAGAAATGAACCTGTGATTCTGAAGTTAAATGCTTAAAAGCACTTATGAAAACTGTTCGTAAAGCTGAGAAGATGGGATATTAAAATGAGAGAGATTTTGGTGTCATAGAATGTACATTTATGATTAACCCATTATTATTGCAATACCATGCAAATGCTCCCTTTAAAACATTCAGATATCGTTTTGCTCAGTGCGGTTGCCCACCAGCCTCATCTGATGTGAAATCCTTCTTTCTTCCCTATTCTGTAGGAGTGTTTTTCCCACCCCACCTGCAGTCTGATCAGAACTGATTTGCATTCTTTCCCTTTCAGAATCTCCTTTATTTGAAATTAATTATATTTAATCTCTCATAATTCTCTTATTATTCATGTGTTAATTAGTAGGTATCATTAACCCTCACAAAAGCCTCACAATTCTGTCTGTGCATGCCCTGTGTTTGAATATGTTGAAATTCTTTCCAAAATGACTAAGTTTTCCTTTGCTTTCAGCAGCCTCCCCTGCCTCAAAGTCTCCTGTAGCTCCCAAAAACATTTTCTTAGTTAAAGAATAGCAAGGCTTTAAGGGGAATCTGCATGATGTACTGCAGATGGCAAACCAGAACAGTAATTCCATAAAACCCAGAAGCATTTACAACTTTTAGAAAAGGATGCCATGTACATGCCATAAAGAAAGCATCTTAATGATCCAGCTCTTGGTTTGTTTTGTTTTATCAGCTTCTCACCTATGCAGATTCTGGCTGGAACTGATGACTGGCTTATCCAAAACGATACCCAGGAGAGTACAACCAGTAGGATTGATGGTACATATGTCTCTAGTATGAAATACAAGATGTTTCTCTTGAGTTCAAAGTGAAACACTAGCTTTGGGTAATGACCTGTGGAAAGAGCCAGAAAAAAATATTGTGAAGGTGTAATTCATAAGAATTTCTTTAAATTATCAACCTGTATTATTTTTGTACATTATTATGCAGTAAAAGCTTAACAAACAAGCCTGAAAAAAAATAAACACAGCACTGAAAAATTCTATCATGAAGACTTTTGAACTGAGGGAAAAAAAAAAAAAAAAATACGTAACATGCAGTCACCATATCCAGAGTTTCATTAAAGATGTCTTGAATTGGAAATTCACTGAGGATTACTGAAGGAAAAAATAAATTCATCAATGTGTGGAGAGGACGTTTCATTATATAACACAATGCAAGGAAATTTGAAATCACATCTGTATTTAGCTGTGGTTATTCATAAGAATTACCACAATGAGCTACTATATAAACTAGCATAATAGCAATTCTAATTTTATGAAGTTAGCATGGGTCCTTATCTTTAACTGCCTCACATGTCTAGATTATTGTGTGCTTTTTTTTTTTTCATTTACTATTACTCAAGATGTGGATGGAAGGCACCTCCTCTGATACTGCTGACCTAACTCTTATATTCCACTTAAAAACAAGCAGTGTCTTTGCATCTTCACTATCTATTTTTCCTTTACATTAGTGCATTGCAGTGTTTGTGTCATTTGGAGCAGTGTCACTGTTGTGGCACAAATGGTTTGCTTCTAAGTGGGTGACGTCCAGGAGTTGAAAGTTTGGGCTCACAGAATCAAATACAGAACTTGGTTTCATAAGGGGACAGCACACTGGTAAGCAAAGCCTGAACTGGTTATCCAGCTTGCTAACCAAGACAAGTTGGCTATGTTTGGGCAACAGAAGCACAGGATCTGAAATCATTACCAGTCCAACAGATCAAAGGAAGGCAAAAGCTTGCTTTGCAGCAACTTAAATGTACAGAATAGACTTTTTATTCAGAAGTTCAAAGTTCAAAATTAAGTGTTAAAGTGTTTAAGTTTTTTAAAACATTATTTTAACAAAATTCTTGAACCAAAATATTGATGAAAGAGGAGTACTTCAATATACGGTGATCAGATAGCTTTGGCCTCATCTATTTTAATCCAACAAACGATGATCTCCAGGACATGTTTGTTCCAGTGCTGGGTGCTGTGAATTGGGACAGAACTACAGAATGGTGACTGCACTTCAGCAACAACAGTATACACATACACAGGCTATTTGTGCATCCCTCAGGTGTGCCGCAAGACATGGAGTCAAAGAAAGAGTACTTTTAAAAGCTTGAAGTGCAAGTAACAGATGCCAAGAAATGTCTTCTTGCTGCCAGACTAGAAAATGGATGGTTACATTTCCCCTGTCAAAAGTACTGTATGAGTTGCATCCAGAGAATAAGGTTTCACAGAACTCTTAAAATCGGAAAGAATCACTATAGATTATGTAGTCCGACCCTAATCACAAGTCACTAAATTTCCTGAATTATGCCTTGCTTTGAACTCAATCACTTTGATTGGAATAGAGCCCACCCTTCAGACAGACATCTAGGCTTAATCTGAGGATATAGAGACATGCGGCATTCACCATTTTTCTCAGTAATCTGTTAGAATGGTTTTAATCATTGTATCTGTTAAAAATTACTAATCTTAAACTGATTTAAGAAAGCTTAACCCAGATTTCTCCATGTTGACTCTGCCTTTTCACTAGTAGACTAAATAGTCCTTTGGTAGTCAACTTTTTCTCCTCCTGAAGGTACAAATACACTGCACTTGAGATTCCTCTTTGTAAGTTCAATATGTTGAGTTCTTCAAGTTTCAGACTGATAGAAATAAGGACACAAAGATGGACAGTAGCCTTCAACTCTCTCCATGAGGCAGGAGATACAGGGATGATTTATACAGTTACCATCATTTTTATGTGAAAAGAGAAGCATTACATTAGTGTACTTCTATCAATACTGTGATTTTTACCAATACAGTTCTTCCAGTAAAAGTCATTTTGCCCACCAAAATTGATTTTAAGTGTAAGCAGACCAAGGTAAAGCACTTAAAAGTTAGGAAGTGCAAAACTTACAGTTGACTGCGCAACATTACTTCTGCTTCTGTCTGCACTCACCCTTGCACTAAATCAAGCACTAGTACTATGGAAAAACACTGAGTCTGTGCAATGAAAGATGATAGCATAAAGCATATTTAAGGAAAGAGAATTAGGGTTGTACAAGCAATTGTAAATCTGTGGCTTCCCAGTGTGCAAGAGCAAGCATTTAAAAACTTAATAAAAACTGTTATGGATTTTATTAATTTTGCTTGCAATCTTCTAGGCTGCTATTTAACTAGGACTCAAAACAGATACTTCTAAATAGAAAGACAAGGTTTTCTCTGCAGTATTTGTACCCCAAATTGTCATTACTGTGGCACAATTGCAGCTAGCATGCAAAGTTTGATGGCATGGCCACCATGAGTGAAGGAAGGACGTCAACCCAGAGCTCATTTGAGAGTGCAGAGGGTGCAAACCATCAGCAGGGAACTGAAACCTCCACAAAAGTAATTTGTCTTGTGTTTCTGTGCTGACGACAGGGAAGGATGTGGTGCCATGTACCCAGCAAAGAGGGGTGAAGAGACTGGACTATGCTTCCAGCGGAGTACCACAGGCACCTGGGGGTTACAGCTTGTCTTTAAGAAGGCAGACTCTGAAACAGCCAACACAGCCATACAGCAATAGCCTCTCCTTGTTAGCACCCTACAGCTGTATCTCTGTTCACCTTAGTATAAAAGTCAAGTGCATACATGGGAAGTTAGTTCAAAATATCAAACCTAAAAGCCCCACTTTGCCAATTCACTGCAATTTCCAAGTGTAGACAAGCCCTTTGAATGTTCCTGTGTTCTTTTGTGTTATTTTTCCTGATGCTAGAAATTTCTGAAGCAATGTGAAAAACAAAGAGAAATAAAGATGTAACAGCTTATAGCTGAGTGGCTTTTGGGGGAACAAAGAAAAGGCATTTCTCTAACCTTAAGGCTTTCTGCTTTCCAGAATCCAAAGACACATCATGGACACGATAATAATAGTGTCAGCATTTCTCTAAAGAGTTCAGAAAAGCTTTTATAATGGAAATTTTGAAGCAACCTATATAAGAATTCATATGAGCTCCTCCTGTAATAAACTGAAGGAAGAAGTAGTCAAGAAAAAGTATGTAATGCATACTTATCATGCTAAAGAAATGTACAATGGGACAAAATGAAGACAGGGAAATATTACAGTCCTTTTTTCATCTACACTCCACAGGTACCAAAAGTTATCATCTTGAAACAGATTTGCTACTCCTACTATGTGAGTCGCATATGAGATAGCAATGCTGTATCTCATTGCCTTTGACCTGCGCATCTGAGGCTATGGTGCCATCAATCAGATCAAAAGAAAATAGGTTCATATAATCCTAGTCCTAGCTTTACTGGAGTTAACTCAAGTACAGCTCAAGTTATCTCCTCCAAACTGTCAACTTTGCCCCTTGCTTGAGTCTTATTGAAACAAAATATTTGCAGTACAATGAGAAGATGCTTTTTCATTCAAGTTTCTGGCCCATGATGGCACCTCAGTGTGTGACTGCTCTTATTTAAATTTGATAATGTGATGGAAACAACTCCTGTGCAGCTTACCAAAGTATCAAATTACTGTATTTAACAGTTTCTCAGATGAACCTGAACCTAAATGACTGTCAGTATGCACACCCTAAACCCACCAGAAGGTGAGGTGATCTACTTAGGTCACCCCACAGTGAAAGAAGATTAAGCTGAGTTACTTGGGTTTTATAGAATTTACTGGATGGCAGAAGTACAAAAGTAGACAGTAACTCCAGGCTGTAGGTGAAGAGCAAGTCTAGAGAGCAGACTACACTCTCCATACCTACTCTAACTCCCTCTACTGCTTCAAAAAAAAAAAAAGTAATACCCTAGAAAGTAGA